ATATCACGAAAGCAATTTAAGTGAAAAATAATTTTAATTTTTTGAATTTTATATGGAAATTGACAGAATAAAAAATCATTTTCCATTTAATTTGCTGGTGAAACCGGATGTAAATTAATTTATGTTACACATTTTTTATATCATTTAGATTTGTTTTTACGTTTGAGTTAGCATTTTTTTTTCGAACTTTAAAAATTTATCTATATCTTAATAAAAGGCACCTTGCTTTCAGGATGATTTAATTGAAGTTAGAGGGTTTGTGTAGAAAAAAAAAATTGAGCCAAAAATTTATTCTATGATTTTATAAATTTCAGAATTGTGTTTTTTTAATTTTGGGATGCTTTTTTTTAACCTTCTCCAAATTTTTATTTGTAAGTTAATTTTGAAAATTTCGGTTTATTTTATTTAACTTAGAGGTATTGCATAAAAAAATTAGTTGGTCATTGGTCGGTTTGACATGGATTGACACGTGTGTAGACAGTATGCATGCCATTATTTATAAACAAAGATAGTGATGAGAAAACATCTATTTTATTACAGCACTAAATAATAGTGACTATTAGACAGTCTGGTTCCTCATAAAATTTTTTTGAATAGCAGATTCTTGTCAATTCAATGCCTAATGGAAATTCGGCATTGGTATTACCTGTGGCCTTGGTGGTATGCTCGAATACTGCTCCATAGACTAAAATATTTAAAACATAATTAGCTAATTTCTTTAGCAAGAAATTGTGAGATAAATACATATTTACCGAACGACGTCGAGGTGATGGTGGATATGAAGTGCCCGTAGCATCATGACCAGGCTAGTAATTCGAAGAGAAAAAAGAAGACAAAAGAAATATTGAAATTTTCTTGTAATCGGAATTTTTGCACAAATATCCTAAATACGGGATTTCACTAAGGCTGGTATTGACACTTGCAAAGCGACAAAATTTGGCGAATACACCAAATATTAACTTGAACATGCTTGTACAAGCGCTCCTTCGCTTTGTCAAACTTATTCACCACGCAAGTGGCAATTCTGTAGCTGCATAACTTTGCACACATAAAAAAGAACTGAGTGTTAACCCTAAACGCGAAAGAAGTGAAACTTCATGAATCAAAGAAATAGGCTGCGGCCGAAGCCAAAGTGTAAACTGTCCTAAATGATAACGCATATTCGCTCGGTTTCTATATACATACATTTGTATGTATGTCCTCACTCACTCTCCCACAGTGATGCCAGCGGGGAGAGTCAGTTCCCCTCCTGCCCACGCATTCACCGGATTCGTCTTTAATGCTACCTTTGCCGACTTTAACCCCAACAACAAACAAAACAACACAATCTAAAAATTAAAGGAAAATTATTTAAAAAATTATAAAAAATAAAAATAAAATAAATAAGTTTCTAAAAGTAAAAAAAAGGTTTTATTGAAAAAATTATAAAAAAGAAAAAATTAAGCTTTTAAACATTAAATGGGATAAAACGAATTTCTTATTAGAACAACAAAATTTAAAAAATTAAAAGAAAATTAAACAAACAAAATTAAAAAGTATTTTTATTTTTGAAATAATAAAATCTAAAAATTTAAATTAAAAATTTAAAAAGGAATAATTAATAGGAAAAAGAAAACAAATACACAGAATAAATATCTAAATTTTAATAAAATAAAAAATATGTTTTTTTTATTTTTCAAACAATAAAAACTAAGTATGTTTAAAAAAGACTTCCTTAAAAAAGACTTAATAATAAAGCAAAAAAATTGAATAAGTTTCTAAAAATTTAACGAAATTACAAAATTTAATCCAATAAAATTAAATTAAAAAAGAGAAAAATTGAATGGGATAAAACAATTCTTATTAAAACAAGAGAATGAAAAAAAATTTAGATAATAAAAGAAAATCAGATTAAAAAAGCACAAATAAAAGTAAAGAAAAGAAAACAAATACAGAAAATAAGTTTCTAAGGATCTTAGCCAAAATTGCCCTATAAGAGTTGTGTGCACATGATATCCCCGCTCGTTTGAGTAATAAGCGAAGCTTTCATCGAATTCGCTTAAAAATATCTTTTAACTGATGTTACACCATCTGTGTAGTTCTGGTCTACATACACTTAGCATACAATAAACTCGCTTACCCCACTCATTGTACCGGGTGGATAGAGTGAAGAAAAATTTTGCAAACGCGAGCTTTGATCCGGTGACCTGCTGTTGTAATTATTCGGCGAAACATTTGAACTGCGAGGCGGACGCGAGCTATTGTGTGGCGCGCCAGCGCATAGGCGAGCTGTTTGTCGACTAGTCGGACGCGGTGGTTCTAGCTCAAGTTCGTCAAATGCAATGCTAGGATCAATGGATCGATAAAACTGCTTCACTTCCTCCTCTTCAGCGCTAAAGTGATCGTAACCGGTACATAGCTGAAAATGTCGACTTAATAAGTTGTTACCAACTTTGTGGACAACTGAAAACAAAAACGTTCAGGTCACAATGTACTAAGTACATACCCTCAATGGATTGGCACGCGGCGATGGCAAGTCGATCATAGTCTGGCTGCGACTAAGGCCTTTGTTAATGCTTTGCTCGGAGCTCTGTGAGATATATGTATGTATGTATGTACATAGTTCAACATAAACAACCAAAAAAATTGTAAAAATTTTACCCACCGAATTTCCTTTCCCAAGTCTTGATTCTGCCCTCGGCTGCTGGAATTGTTGCTTCGGAGTTGTAGGCCGCGGCCGCGGCGTTGCTGACAAGCGCGCATCTTTAACTGAATTCTGTTTCGAGCATTGGATTAAAAATACACGAGCATACATATCTTGTTTAACGTCCTACCTGCGCGTGTGGCAGCTGTCGTTCTGCTCCGATATCGTAGGTGCGTAGATCTAAGGCCTGTAAGTCGCGTTGGCGCGGTGAACGTCGCATTGAAGACATCAATCTTGACAAGGCACACCAAACACAACCCAATTTATTGCAATTTGTTTTTCAAGTTTATTAGAAGAAAAGCTGTGCAAAGGAAAAAAATTGTTTTTCGATATTGTTTCGTTGTAGTATCCAAACTTACTCTTTTGTTCGGGGCTTTGCAGCTGCAGATGTCGATTAGTGCTTCGGGTAGTTCCAAATTATTAAAAATCTGTACAATTTTTTGTTGTTGGTTTGATATTTTGTGAAAATGAAGATTTTTTTAAATTTTGACACTTGTCAACCGATGTAATTTCCTCTGCTGATTTTATTTTGGTACCGTTTTTTTTTATAGCGTATGACAGTTTTTTAGACGAATCGGTTTAAAATTTTAAAGCTCCCGTATTGAGTGAAAACTAAAAGCATATTTCATACGAAATTTTACGTGACGCCCTCAAGTCTGGAATAAGCTTTGATTTCCTTTTCACAGTATAAGAACTGGGTCCTGCGATGTTGCAGAAGAAAGACCAGGGGCTGGTTACGCAACATATTTGAACGCTGATCTGATCTCTTTTCCAAAAGTGGATAGAAGTGGCCACACGTACACAAAGAACTTTAGACCCTTTAGAGTAGCATAGTTTCTTCAAACGACCCTGGAGAGGTTTATAGACATATACATGAAATAAAACGCATGTGCCCCCATGCTCTAAAAGCAGAACACGCTTATTCGAAGGACAGATTGGTAGATAACGCCCTACACAATGTTGTTGGACGAATTGAGGCGGCTATGGAGAACAGAGAATTCGTTGTGGGGGTATTCCTGGACATAGCGGGGACCTTCAGCAAGCTATTTCATCAAGAATGACGACGATAGTGATTTCGAACTGGATAAGCCCTATGCTGAGCTGCGCAGAATTGTTGCGGCGTAATGTGGTAGGCATGGTATCAGCAAACCGGTTAACAGGGGTAGGCCGCACAGGAGCGAATTATCGCTGCTGCTATTACCACCGGTGGTCAATAGGATACTAAGAAAATGTAAGCTGAACCTGCCAAACCTACTGCGAATATAGATGATATTTCTTCTGAAAGTATCGTACTCACTCATCTCACTTCTGAGCCAAGCACTACGGAACATAAATCTTTGGGCAACTGAAGTGGGGCTTAGTATCCACGCAGAAAATATAGATCTTGTTCTCTCTCAAAAACTGTTCTGATTTTTTTCTTTTAAATTAATTAAATGGGAAATGTAAAAAAATAAAAAATTTAAATTGAAAAAAATAAAAATTGTTGCAACTTTTTTTCTTAGTAAATTTGTTTGCTTCTCGAAGAATTGATCCATCCTTTGTAAGACCCAGTGATCAACGGTTTTGCTGCTGAGTTGGGCGAACGTTCCAAAAGTTGCTATTCAATCGCTTGTTTTATATGGAAAAAGGTTTCACAAGCAAATCGATTTTAACAATTTAGAATATTTGTGAGAAAAGATTTGAAATATTTTGGCTGCGTTTGTTTATACATTTCGCATAATCCCATTTCACAGCCGAAATAAACAAAATTTGAAATATACGTTAACATATCATCAGGAACGTTCTAAAGAATAAGTAAACAAAAAAGTTTATTCCAAACGTTCAGTAGCTCATTTCTGTAACAATTCTCTACCAAGGCGAATTGAGATATGAATTCGCCGCCCTGTTCTCTACTGCTAATTAGTGGTGAGAATGACGTATTTTCTCTACCAGTAAAGAAATAATCGGTAGAGAAAAGTTACAGAAACGGGCTACAGAATGAATGAAGAAATCGAGACCAAATAATTTGAAACAAAATTAAATCAGCTGCTCTACTGATAACACCTGTTCAATGTGCCTTGCTATCGAGTCTATACTATCGACGTTACGGCTTTTTTTATCGACATCATCTACCCAAATTGTCAGTTTATTCAAACATAAAATCAAGGCGAATTTATATAAGGTGGAGTTACTAGCTCAGCTGATTTTGTGTATGTGTTTCGCCGCACGGCTTTTGATATCAAATTGAAAAATTTTGTTTGAATTTCTACACACAGTCTTACACATTTTGACAGTTTATGCCGCCAAAGCGAAAACAAAATACATGTAAATTTTTGTTTTTATACTCCTGCTATCACCTTATATTAACTCGCCTTGCATAAAATAAGAAAAAATAATAATTAAGTTACAAGTAAAGAACCAAATACAAATTACACCACAGCATCCCATTTACACGCGAGAAAGTTGTAAGCCTAGCATAGCTAGCGCCTACGCGGCGCATGTGGCTGTATTCGAAAATGCTCAAGCCGACACTTAGTAGCGATTTGTTCAGTGTAAATAAGCATTCGTTTCTGCTGATAGTGAGCTGAGCAACAATAACCTCAGCTTATCTGCCGCCATTCAATTAGTTTGCGCTCGCCGCTTGACCTGCTAGCAACGATGAGTAGTCTGCGTTCGCTGCGACATTTAGGCCGGTGTTATGCAGACAAACTTTTGTTTGCCAAATTAAATGGCGGCTGCTTAGTTTGCTCGGAGGTGGTTATGTCGAGTTTGGCACAGGGATGCACGTTCATTAGGTTTTCATGGCTATTGCCAACACGAAATGAGAATTTCAGATGTACATAACGCGCACAATTTAAAATTTTTGTATATGACAACACCGAATTTGCTGCAGTTTGACCAAACAAAATTAGTTTGCTGTGAGAGTCGCCAAACTCGCTCTCTCCGAGTTTGCTGCAACAACAATTGCACGCAGTTTGCCAAACAAAATTTCTGCATAANAACGCCACTCTTTCAACTGTTGCGCGGTATGCCGAAAGGCGGCGTGTTGCATGCGCATGATATGGCGCTGTGTAGCAGTGAATACCTGCTGCGCCTAACATATCGTGAGCACTTGTGGGTTTGTGTTTCGCGCAGTCAGACAAAAGAGTACGAGCGGCTGCGATTCTCTTTGTTGCGGCCGCAGAGCGAGCAGCCGTGCGAATGGTTGCTTTTGAGCGACTTCCGTGAGAGTGAGCGTGGCGATGTTGTTGATAAGAAATTATTAGCCCAATTGACTATGTATCCGCAAGTGCAGTTCGACAATGAGGATGCGGTGTGGAAGCATTTTCGTAGCATATTTCGACTTGTTATCGGGCTGTTGACCTATGCGCCCGTATGGGAGGAGTACATCTACAGGGCGCTGGAGGAATTTTACGCAGATGGCGTGCAATATTTGGAAATACGTTCCGTATTACCAATAGTAAGTGCGCTCAAGTTAAACTGTGCGTTTGTGCCAATTGTAGTAATATACACTTTTTCGGCAGTTTTACGACCTAGTTGGTGGCAACTATACCATACTGAATACGACGCGCGCAATGCGCAATGCGGAATTACGTTTCCGCGCAACACATTCGGACTGGATTGGTTCGCGCCTGGTCTATGCGCCGACGCGAAAAGTTAGCGACGCTCGCTTCGTCGAGTATCTCGGCAATGCGCTGTTGTTGAAGGTTGGTAAATTGTGTGATTTTATTCGAACACCGTCACGCTTACGTTCAAGCAACTAACTCCTCTCTTACCCTCACTTGCAGTCCCACTTCCCCGACTACCTTGCCGGCTTTGACTTGGTTGGCTATGAGGCCGAGGGTCGCCCATTGCGTGATTATGCTCGCGAGCTTCTCGCTGTACAAGATGAAATCAACTTCTACTTTCATGCTGGCGAAACAAATTGGTATGGCTCAAGCATCGATGAAAATCTACTCGACGCTGTGCTACTCGGCACTAAGCGCATTGGTCATGGCCTGGCGCTGCTTAAGCATCCCGAGGTGTTGCGTTTGGCACGTTTGCGAAACATTGCCATCGAAGTGAGCCCGATATCAAATCAAGTGTTGCAATATGTTGGCGATTTGCGTACTCATCCCGCTGCGGTGCTGTTTGCGCAAAATTATCCGGTTGTGATCGCTTCGGATGATCCATCATTTTGGAAGGCTACGCCGCTCACACATGACTTCTATGTGGCATTCATGGTGATTGGCTCGCAGAAGGCACATCTTGGCATGCTAAAGCAGTTGGCTTGGAACTCGATTGCTTATGGGGCATTTGAACAGGCTCAGCGGGAGGAAGCCTTTGAAAAATGGACTAAAAGATGGGAGAAATGGATTGACGATGTCCTGAGGTAGACGACGGGATGCGAATAAAAATGTTTGTGTATTTTCTAGTTTGAAAATTTACAATTTTCTCTGATGATTAAGAATAAAATTGTAGGGTGTTGTTTTGGTAAAACATTGCATTCTTTATTTGGTAGGGATGATAAAGATATTGAGATGGAAGTTAAATTTTTTACAACTTAAAAAATTTGTGAGTCTAGCCGACACATTGGAAACTGGCGAAAAGTGCCCAAAGTTCTGAAAATAGTTATACAAGTAGTCGCTAAAACATTCTCCGTCGCGTGAAAATATTCTTTTACTTACTTAAAATACCATGAATTTTACTATTTTTGAGTCTGATAGTTGTTATTATTCTTGAAATAAGTGTTCTCATGGTAACTAATCATATTCTAGAAGACTGCCCAATGAAATCAATATGAAATGAGGGGATCTTCGGGGTCACTTGGTGGTCCACAAGCCATTTATGAACGATATTATGCTACCGAAATTATCCTCTGACAAGCCCTACAAGGTCAGGGTTCTCCAATATATCAGTGGAAGAGACTGAGTCAGGCGTAGTTGGACCAAGATTCTAGAAAAGTCTGCCAATCAAATGGGCTCACACTAAACCATGTTCCAGGTCGAAAAAAATCATAACTAACTCCAGGAGGAACTCTGAAAGCCGCCTTGAACTTAGCGGGGATGGTTTTAGAACTGCCTAAGAGGACACTGCATGTTATGGTATCATTTTAATAAAGTTCGATTTTCTGTAGAGACGGACTGCATATTTTGTGGGCAGCTGGATGAAACTTCAGAACATATTCTATGTAACTTCCCACGTTTAATGAATCGCAGACTGACAAGCCTAAAATTTGGAACATGGTATAATCCCATGTGCTGAATTTCTTAAATATTTAGCTATTTACAGAGCTAGCAGCTATTAAAGAATGAGTTAAATGGCTGCTCAATTGCATGAAATCGATAAAAGAGTTAAATATATGTGCATTAAGGTGTATCACTCTCTATACAAAAACAAAACAAAAATTGGTACTGTTTATAATACTTTAAATATATTTCGGAAAAATATTCAGCCTTATCATGCGTTTCATTTTCCCCGGCCCGTTTCACTTTTCACCTTTGGATGACAAATTTTCGGGAGAATTTTTTCCAGGCGAAACTCAGGATAATGCGGATTAAGAACTATGTGAGCTTAACCTCAGCATTTTCTAAACGGAATCCAAATAATGAGATTTTTGGAAGTATTTTCAAATCGGTTCACATAAGTCTACATATTTCTTGGAAATATTTTGGCGGAAGTCTTATAAAATGAATTTAATAATTCCGGTGAGAAAATCGCAAGTATTTTTTTTTGTGATACACCTTCATGTAAATTAGACCAAGTAAAACAAATCCTGCAATGCGGCCAGAACCTGACTCAAATTTTAGTATTGGCATAGTTATGATCCTTCTTGAATCCCCTTTCTCTACGATAATTATAAGAGCTACCGAATCACTAAACCGCAACTGTCAATCGTAAATAATATTTAAGTTGTTTACAAAATTATCGGTTTAATCCTCCTACTAAGCGCATGTCTTCTGCTTAGTACATGTTTAGAGATTATCAATTTCGAACACTACTTTAATCATAAGGAAGCACTTTATGAATAAAATCGAAACAAATAGAACTAAACTTTATCTTATCGCCTATTGAAATTCTTTGCTTTCCCCTGAATATTTATTATTGGCACTTGAAAACGAATACTTAGAATATACGCTATCGCCATTTAGCGGTCATAAAACCAATCTAAACATTACGTAACAATGAAAACACTCACGAAATTCATTCACTTGCAGACCAACAACGCACCCAAACAACAGCAGCGAAACACAGTTCGTTCGTTTTTCTAACACCACGTTCTCAGTTTGCGTTCGATCGGCGTTCCAACTGGACACAGCTCAGTGATAAACGGCTCACTTGTAGAACATACATACGCACCATTATTTCCGATCGACATTCGCTACCAAAATGTTTAATTTTACGCGTTTTGCCTTCGTCGCGTGGTGCCTGCTGAGTGTTGTTTTGGCGCGCACCCATAAACGCAGCCAGTTGGCTGCTTCACATTTGGCCGCCTATTTGCCTGAGAGTAGTTTACGCAGCAGTCGTCCGACACCGGACGCTTACGATGCCGAACGTAGTCTATTCTTTCGCTATGAGGAATCCAAGGGGCTGGGCGCCGAAATTGAGTTGAACGAACAAGAATTGCTTGCCAATAAGATTATTATGGCAGCAAAGACCTACGAGTATGAGGAGGGTCTCATCACGCCGCACCTCTTCAAGCCTTCAAAACATTTCTTCAGCGTTTTGGAAGACATCACTAAGACGCCGCTATTTGCGTACTTGCATGCAATGCCGAAGGGTGGCGTGTTGCATGCGCACGATACCGCCATGTGTAGCACTGATTTTGTAATACAACTAACCTACCGAGAGAATTTGTGGGCGTGTCAGCGTAGTGGTGCATTGGAAGCGGTCGATTTGCATTTTGCCAAGAAAAAGCCAACACATGTGGTGGAAGGTGAAAATTGTGCGTGGACACTTTTGGCGGAAATGCGTGATAGGCATGGCGCTGCAGCGGTGGATGATTATTTGCGTGAACGCTTTACATTATATCCGAAAGAGAAATTCCTTGATAACAATGAGGCTTGGGAGGAGTTTATGGAAATCTTTACATTGTTGGATGGTTTGATTACCTATGCACCTGTGTGGGCGGACTACTATTACAATGCGTTGAAGGAGTACCGTGCCGATGGCGTACAGTATTTGGAGTTCCGTAGCACATTGCCAAGGGTAAGTTGAGCGATATTGTGGTATACGAATTTTTGGTGTGACGTAAGGTTAGGTTAATTAGCTGTTACCATTTTATCACTAGGCACCTGATGTAGATCACACTTTAAGTAGACTTTTAGTAGATAATGTTTAGGTGTTATCGCTTTTAGCGAATATAAGGAAATCTGGGACCACAATCTACCACCTCCTTGATGGCGGCTATTTCCGCATGAAGGACATAACAGATATCCGGAAGCCTGAGGACAATTTTGTTGAAGAGCTCCCGGCAAAACACATCTGCACCAACTCTGCCACTACGTTTTGATCTGTCCGTGAAGAAGTTCACAGCTACCTTCTTTGAGTAACCCCGTCCCCCAGTCCTCTTTTGAGGGAATGTACGTAGGTAGAAAGGAGCTGGGGTGTTGTTTTGAAATCACAGTTTGCAATTTAACCTGAAAAGCAAAAAGAAAACAAAACATGAATTAAAGAACTTCCTAACAGACCTGGGTTACATTTGATTTCCATTGTCAGCAGAACAAAATACCAATAACTTCTGCAGCACCGCAGTCGTTTAATCTTTGTTTAGCCAGTGGTAAANTCTTCCACTCAGCCATCGATATGCTTTTTTTGCTATAAACTCGCCAACGACCTTCTTTACTGAAATCTTATAGTGGCTTCATATCCAGCAAGGCGTTAGAATTTTCTGTCAATAGCAAACATTCCGAGGCCCCTTTAAATTTCGCGCTTTATGTACAGATATTAAAAACTTTCCACTTTTTTCATTCCAGCTCTATGACTTGGAAGATAACGAGTACACTGAGCTGGACACTGTGCGCATTTATAAGGAAACCTTGGAAAAATTCATGCAAGATTACCCAGACTTCATCGGATCGAAACTGATCTATGCGCCGAGACGTAATACAAGCCCAACACAAGTTGAGGAGTATATACGTATCTGCATTGAAATAAAGGTTCGAATTAATATCAATGCAGTGTATGTTACTTTTACTACGCAGAAAGTTACCCTTTCCATACACTTTCAGGTTAAATACCCCGATTTCATTGCTGGTTTCGACTTGGTTGGCCAGGAAGAGCTTGGACGCCCACTTAAAGATTTCATACCGCAATTATTAAGCATGCCTGCTG